AAATTTCAGTGATAATTAATACACACTCTTCCCTATATCTGAAGAGATCAGGCAAATGACTAGCACACAAGATGTATGTACTGCCAGAAATACAGAAAGAATGTTCAGAAAAAAAAAAATATATTGTCTGAGAAGAGAGGAAAAAGTAAGACCTAATTCTGACAGGGACACTAAGGGCAGTTTCATAGACAGAAGAGATCACTATATCTGAATCTTGAAGCATGGGAAAGGATTTAACTCAGAAATAAAGAATAATGGTTGAAGCACAGGTCAACACTTATCCCATCCTTAACTTACCCTTCCACTCCTCTTTTATTATCTGGAATCTACCAAGTTGCAGCTTCTCACACTTAAATCCAGGGGATATGTGCATTCATATGCTTTCTACTTCATGTTCCCATAGCCATCACCTTGCATACTTATGGCAAGTAGATGACTTTAGGACCTCTTCAACAGGATCTCATAATTGGTCTACCTTATTCTCCTTATGTATTTGTTTACTTAAAGTAAGCTTCCCTTCCTCATAAATTCTGGATGATTTCACCTCGCATATAATAAAAGCAACTAATGACTGTTTGTTTCCTATTCAGTCACCACCATTCTCGGTCCTCCATGGCTTTCAAAATGCCATTTACTTTTTTAGTAACTCATCCTTCTTTTTCTCTGTCTCCTAGTTTTCTCCTCATCCCTCAAGATCTACTTTAAATGTAATTCCTCTTTGGATCACACGTGATTTCTTCTACTCAGAACTGATTAAATCTATATCGACACCCAGAGGCTCTACCTAGATCACTGGCATGGTACCCATGCATGGGAGCTAAGCACTTGTATTTCAGAATCTATCCTGCTGTATCCCTGAAGCTCAGGGTAGACCAGTTGACTAGTATGAATGTTGGATTGCAGTGATGGAGACTAAATACTGAAAATTGCATGACTTATTAGAGTATCAGCTTCCAAAACGTCTGCAGGGAATTTCCTTTATATCATAGAATAAATTCAGTTATATTTATAAGGAGGCTGTCATTGCATGGACAGATCTTGCATGAGTGATTTAACAGCTGTTAAGAATAATGTGGCACCTACAACGCTAAGAGAAAGTCTTGGCAATTGTTACAACTATCGGAAAATGGCAAGGAAGGACTCAATGAACTGAATGCTCTGTCACATCCTGACAATTTCTTAGTCATCCCTACTAAATTTGGACTCAAAAGCTCAGCAGAGAAGAAAATGAGGCCAAAAACGAGAAGGAAAAAAAAAACACGTTGAAGCAACCAAAGGAGTGTTCTGTTCTCTGTGTGTGACACTGTCATTTTTATCCTGTGTTAGAATGAGTAGGCAGAAGAGGCTTGATTCTATTAAAATGTGGAAACATTTAGCATCCCATTTTATGCAGAAGAGTCCAACAAAGAAGCTATAGGTGTAATTGCATCTCTTCAGTACATATAAGCAATATCAACAATGGAAATTGTATTTGGCCCAAGCCAAGAAAGTCCTATTTTGAAAAGGACATCAAGGAACAAATTTACTTTGATTGGTTGTGGATACCTCCACACAGGTTCCCTGAAAGAAGGTACCAAAGTGAACACAAAAGAGGCACTGAATGAAGGCAGCAATAGCTGTGCCCTATATTTAAAAGGCAGTAGATAAATAAATATCTCCTATCAGAATGGGCATATAAGTCACAAATTCCTTGCATAGTTCCTATGAAATTACTTAATATGAGTATAAAATAAAAGGTACTTTAAAACTTATAACTTATTTTTTTCAAGACATGGTTTCCCTGTAGTTTTGGGGTCCATCCTGGAACTAGCTCTTGTAGACCAGACCGGCCTTGAACTCACAGAGATGTGCCTGCCTCTATCTTCTGAGTGCTGGGATTAAAGGCGTGCACCATCATTGCCCACTAATAACTTTTAATGCATTAACTTCTCTTAAATGTTGTTCACCTCTCATGCTCATACACATTTTCCAGATAAATAATATTTAGATCATGAAATATCTGTCTCAAAGACCTTCTCTGTTGGTGATATCTATATGTAGCTCATACTAGCTAGTTATTATCATATTTTGGCCAACAAATGAGGGATTGAAGTTTAGAGAATACACAGATCCAAGAGTAATATCTAACAGTTCTTTTTCCAAACCCACTTTACTCATATTATTCAGAAGTAAATAATTATTTGGAAGTTAAAATAGCAAATATGAATAAATCATTTTAAAACCCTCATACATCAATAGAACATATTAGAGAATTCTTTCAGCCAAGGATGCTAAGGGTCAGCTGCTCCTATCATGGCAGATAAAGTCTCAATATAGACATTTTAAGGCACAATGGGTAATACTGGATTCATATACAAATAAACACAAGATTTAATGGTGTGCCAGAAACATTGTCCCAAAACACAGAACTTGAGATGAGTGTAAATCGTTATTCTCTTTTAGAGTCTACACATGTAGCTCTGCCCTGTGTTGCTTTAGTCACAGTGGTAAAGTGTGGAGACAGCGTAGTTTTTTTGGCTTGCTGGAGCTAAAGCTTGGTTAAAGGAGACTTGGGTTAGAAGAGCAGCTGATCTAGAATGATGCCAGTAGGGCTATGGTTTATTACTGTGCAACCAGGAACCATGACCTCAAACAACGGAGCTTAAGGTTTCTGTGTATATTTGTCAGTCAGGCTCTATAAGCACATCTCCAGCATTAGAACAGATGCACCAAGATTAAATACCCTCATAATTAAAAAAAAGTAATTTAGCAAACAGAGGCCATAATAACAGGGCTCTCATCCACCCACCCACCCCCATTCTCTTGTAGATTAAGCTATGATGTCACTACAAGGTGACAGTGTTACATTTGTATTTGTATCTAGGCAGGATGAGAAACTTTCAGGACTACCATGTAGACTGTAAATGTCCTTTTTACACATTTAGCCCCCACAACATATTTTTAGGTAGGCAGCATAGATTCTTTGGGATCTACGGAGAGCAAAATTGTCTACTGAAGTGGTTCCTACAAAAACTGGTAATGTTAAACCTGGGTAGCAAGGACTGTCATCACAGATCCTGGTATAACCTATTGTTCTCAATAGATTTTGCTTACGGCACCTATGACATTTTTAAAGTAGGAAATAAAAAATAAAAAGCAGAAAATAAAAACAGTTTATAGATTTATAGGTGAACAAGAACAGAAGCATCACTAACAGTCCTGAACCATGATTTTTTCAGCAAGTTCAATAATCATATTTTAACAGGTTTTCCTCTCTTCAGTGCTCCCAGTGACCTCTTTTCCCTTCTATCTTCCAGCACATTTTCAGCAGAGTAATCCTCCAATTAGTTTAGCAATTACTGTCACTAGCAAGGGTCATTCATCTCATCTTGAGCCATGTTCTAATGAGAATTAATTTTCTGGATTTAAAATGTGCAGGTTATTTAAGCAGGTCTGATTTGTGTATGTCAATTATTCTCCCGCGTATTGAAAATCGTGACTAGATTAAAATCAGAGTCTCAGCTCTTTTATAAGATAAGTAAATGAAATTTTAAAATATAAATTATACCCATGGGGTGACAAGGTAACTACCTATGTTCCCCAGATTGGCTTCTCTTACATCAGTGATCTCAAAATCCAGGACTAATTATTATATCCAGAGCTTTGATATTCTTTCCAAGGGTATATTTGAGGCAAATAAACTTCATTATTACTGAGTTCAAAGAATGGTAAGGAAGAAGCTGAGGAAAAGGGAATCAACAAATTGTGCTCTGTAGCCAAACAAATGTGTTAATTCATGATAAGGGGAATATTTTATGCAAAAAATCCCATTGGACTAAGATAATTAAGGACAGTTCTTGGTCTAAGGCATGGGTTACAGGATTGACCTATACATATATGATGAAAATATCTGTGAAGTGCAATGTCGTATGATGAAACCTTTGAAACTGCCTTGTACAAATTCAAATAAAGAGTTAATTCTGGCACTGCATCTACCTAATAAATAGAAGGCTCTTTCAGAGGAGAGACATAAGCAGTCAGCACTTGCCTCCTAGGGGAGAAACGGTAAGTGATAAAGTGAGGAAAAGAGCCTAGAGATAACTCCAGTGTATATGTGTGAGTGTGTGTATTATATTGCATGTTCATGTGGGTGTGTGCACATGTGCCTTTGGGTGCATGTGCAGGTGATTCTGGTGGAAGGTAGAAATTGATGTTACGTGTCTTCCATGCTCATTCTTTATGCAATTATTTTGAAACAGGTTCTCGTATTGTACCTGTAGCTCATCAAGCTGCTGACCACTGAGCTCCAGGGATCTACTTATCTCTGACAATCAAACTCCAGTGCTAGGGTTTTACATGGGGGCCTCATGCTTATATAGCAGGCAGTTTACCAAATAAGCCATCTCGCTAGCATGATAAATCCAATCTTCAAGACATGGAAGAGAAGGGGGGGGGGGAGAAGACAAAAGAGGGTTTAAAAAAAAGACAAAATAGTGTAGCTGCGGAGATGGTTCATCAGTTAAAAGCTCTGGCTGCCTCTGCAGATGGTCCATGCTCAGTTGCCAGTACTCACACGGTGGTTTACAGTTCCAGGAGATCCAATACACTCTTCTGGCCTTTGTGGGCACCACAAATAAATGTGGTGTACATACATTAACACAGGGAAAATATACACACAGAAAATTTTAAAAATCTTAAAAAAATCAATTTAAGAAAGACAATTGGGAGCATGAGGGAGGAAAGAGAAGGGAGGGTAAAAGTGGAAGAGGAGAGAAGGGGAGGGGGAGGAGAACTTGAAGGAACAGGATAGTCAAGATGGAGGAACGACAGAGATAAGAGCAAGGAAAGAGATATTTTGATTGAGAGAGCCATTATGGGGTAAGGGAGAAATCTGGTTCTAAGGAAATTCCTAGGAATCCACAAGGATGACTCCAGCTAAGACCCTAAGCAATAGAGGAGAGGGTGCTCAAACTGGCCTTGCCCTGTAATCAGATTGATAAATATCTTAAATATCACCATAGAACCTTCATCCAGCAACTGATGGAAATAGAGGCAGAGATCCACAGCAGAGCTTGGAGGCTGAGCAAGCTCCCAAAGTCCAGTTGAAGAATGGAAGAAGTGAGAATATGAGCAAAGAGGTCAAGGCCATGATGGGCACACCACTGAAACAGTCTACCTGAGCTAATGAGAGCTTACCAACTCCAGCTGGACTGGAAAAGACCCAGCATAAGAAGGACCAAACTAGACCTTCTGAATGTGGGTGACAGTTGTGTGGCTGGATCAGACTGAGGGGCCACTGGCAGTGAGACCAGGATTCATCCCTATTATATGTACTGACTTTTTGAGAACCCTTTCTCTTTGGATGGATACCTTGCCCAGCCTAGATGTAGTAGGGAGGGCCTTGACCTTTCTCCAAAACAATACGCCTTCCAATCTCTGAGGATTGGATAAGGGGTGGTGGTGGGATAAGGTGGAGGGGATGTGAGGAAGGGAGGGGGTTGCAACTGGGATTGGTATGTAAAATAAAAAAAATATAGTTTGTTTTCTTTTTTGAAAAAAAAATAAATAAAATAAAAAATCTGGGAAAAAGAAATACAAAACAGTGCTTAAGCTGAAGTAAGACTAAAGAGAGATCCTTGTAAGAAAGACATAGGCACATAATTATATCCTGAACTTTGTGTGTCCAAATAACTAAACATTTCAATTGAAGCTTTTGGCTTTATTTTTGTAAAATGATGTAATAGTCTACCAGTTCTGTTAACTTAATTATGCTCTTGCTTGAAGATCCAATGAGAAGCTGTATATGACTGAAGCTTCACTGAAGGCTTTCTTTTGATAATAAGTAACCAGAAAATCAGGTCAAAATACATTCTTTAATTTTCAGAGTTCTTTTTCATCTGGAATCAATTTCTAAGAATAAGATTAGCCTATGTGTATTTTACTAATATAGAAGAATATAAATTATACCCCAAATTAGGGCTACAGATGAATTTTAATGTTCTCCTCAAAGTTTGATTATTAGGAAACATTTTTCTCCTTTCCTTTTTTTATTTCTGTTGGCAGCAGGATGAAATGGCTGCAATGCTGTAAACCATGGCAGTAAAAATAAAAAAAAAGAGAGATAGAGGAATATTTAAAATAGATCTTGTAAAATTCCATGACACAAAATTACTTAAAAATACATAGGGCTAGACATGGTGATGAATGCCTTTAATGCCAGCACTTGGGAGGCAGAAGAAGGCAGATCTCTGAGTTTTGAGTCCAGCCTCGTCTTACAGTGTGAGTTCGAAGACAACCATGGATATATAGAAAAACCTTGTCTTGAAAAATTAAAAAAAAATTACACATGGTAATTATCAACCATTTGAAAATAAATGCAAATTATGCTTAACTGTGTCTATTTTTATTCCATGACACAAAATTACTTAAAAATACATAGGGCTAGACATGGTGATGAATGCCTTTAATGCCAGCACTTGGGAGGCAGAAGAAGGCAGATCTCTGAGTTTTGAGTCCAGCCTCGTCTTACAGTGTGAGTTCGAAGACAACCATGGATATATAGAAAAACCTTGTCTTGAAAAATTAAAAAAAATTACACATGGTAATTATCAACCATTTGAAAATAAATGCAAATTATGCTTAACTGTGTCTATTTTTATTGCCTCATATTGTTAAAAAGATTCTTGATGTCATTTTTATAGTCCAGGATAGTTTGTGGCATTTTAATTTACCTTAGGTTAACGTCACAAACATGGCAACATATTGTCCTTTCCCCACAGTTAATCATCAATAAGAATTAGAACAATACTAGGCCTCTCAGTGAGGGACCAGGTACTATGTTTTAGTTCCATAGTTCTCTTACAGCTTTGTACTGGTCATCCTGTATCTTCCAGTACCATGAAGATGTGCCATACAATGGATTATTCACTCTATTCAAATTTACAAACAAAGTTGAGTGTTGGGGGTCTGTTGGATGGCTGTTGGCTCTTAAGCATTGGCAATCTATATAATGTAAAATAAATAATGATCAAAAACTATTGAGAATTTCTAAAAAACAAAAAACACAACAAAACCCACAGCTGGGCCTGTTGGTGCACACCTTTAATCTCAGCACTCAGGAGGAAGAGGCCTCTGAATTTGAGGCCAGCATGTTCAATATAGTAAGTTCCGGACAGTCAGGTCTATTTCCAGAGATGTCATCTCAACAAAACAAAACAAAACAAAAAATTAAAACAAAGTATATTAAAAATAAGCTAGAAATAAAGGAAAACAAACACCCCCCCCCTTACAGAGGCTAATGGGTTATTTCTGTCAGTATATAAAAATTACATGATACAAAGGTCTCATTCCTTACTAACATTGGTCAGCAAAGTTTAAAATGAAAGCAATTTGTTAATATTTGTGTCAAAGCAAGATAAATATATATATGCATGAATGCATACTAGATCAATAGAATAAGGAGCTAGTTTTCTAAATGAAACAGAAGTAACTAACCCTTCACTAAAATAAGAGGAAAGAAGAAAATCAATGAACTCAGATGAAAAGGGAAATACTGTTATAGACATTCTAGAAATGTAAATATCTTTGAAATGTATTGTGAATAATTATATATTCTAATAGAGTTGAAGAACTAGAAAGGAGGATGAATTCCTGGGGACATGTATGTTACCAAAACAGAATTGTGAAGAAGAAATAGTAAACCTGCACAGACATATAAGGAACAAATCTCAACAAACTGAATAAATGTAACGGTATATTTAACAAGGTCATTCATTGATCATTGACCATGATCAAATGGGACTCTTCACAAAGATACAACCAGGAATCACAACCACCATGGAATGAAAGACAAAACAAAACAAAGCATAGGATCATCCCAATGATTGCAGAAAAGACATGTGAGAAAAGTTACCATTCCTCCATAATAACAACACTGACTATTAGGCAAAGGAAGAACAGGTTCAACAACATAAAGACCATATATTATAAGGCAAGAGCTAACATTATCTTGAATTGGAAAACTCCTACAGCTTCTAAAAATATAAGGAGACCCATTTTCATTAGCCCCCTTCAATACTGGAAAACAAATAGGCAAGAGACTGAAAAGAGGAAATCAAAAGTTTCACTATCTGTAGATACACTCTTACATAAAAAATCCCCAGAGGCTCTGTCAAAAAATATCTATTAGAAGTGACAATGTGGTAGGTTGAGGCAGGTGTTCAAATCCAGTCTATGCTATATAATGAGTTTGAGACCAGCCTCAGCTACATAGTAGAATCTTGTCTAAAAAAATAAAGGCAATCTAATTAACCAAAAAGGATGTGATTTTATTTTCTTTATTTTTTGTCAACTTGTTATAAGCTACATTCATCTGAGAGGAAGAAACCCCAATTAAAAAATGCCTCATAAGATCAGGCTATAAGAGGTTTGTAGGGTATTTTCTTAATTAGTGACTGATATGGCATGGCCCAGCCAATGTTTGGTAGTGCTATTTCTGGGCTGCTGGTCCTGGCTTCTATAAGAAAGAAGGCTGAGCAAGGCATGGTGAGCAAGTCAGTAATCAGCACCCCTTCATAGTTTCAGCATCAGCTCCTGCCTATGGATTCCTGCTCTATTTAAGCTCATGTCCTGACTTATTGATGATAAACGGTGCTGTGGAAGTATAAGACAAACTCCTTCCTTCCTTCATTTCTTCCTTCCCAAGTTGTTTTGGTCATGGTGTTTCATCACAGCAATACACTAACCAATACAAGGGTAATTCATCTACAATTAGAAGTAGAAGGCATGGATGAAAAAAAAAATAGAGAGATCTATCTATATAAAAATGGAATGACCTCCTATATTCACAGATTGAAAGAACAAATATTGTTAAATGTCCAATTTGGGGGCTGGAGCAATGGTTCAGTAGTTAAGAATACTTACTACTCCTGTAGAGGATCTGAGTTTGACTTATAGCATGTGCCATAGTGACTGACAGCTGAAATATTGAGCCCTCTTTTAAATGTCATGGGCATCAGACATATACATGGTACACATACATATGTGCAGATCAAACACACATACATATTTTAAAAAATGTTTTGTAGTACCAAAAATGATCAATCCTTTGCATGAAATATCCCTCAAATATCAATAATATTCTTTCCAGAACTAGAAAAAAAGTGGTAGAATTTTGTATTGAACCATACAAACATGCCTGTCCCTCTCCATAATCCAAAGCAAATGAGAAAAAAACAGTTAAAGGTACTATTTTGTCAAACCTTAAAATAAAGCTAAGTATGAAAAGAGACACAAGGTCCATGAAACACAAGAGAAAATTTAGAAGTAAATCTATATACCAAAAGATAATTTCTTTCTACAAAAATTTTATAAACTAACATTGGAGAACAGTGTTTTCAATAAATAGTGCTGAGAAAATTTTGTATGCATATGTAGAAGAAAGAAACCAGACCTCTATCACTCATTACTTTCATAAACAAAAGAAACACAAATAACTAAAACCCGATTAATGACTAAGTATAATATCTGGAATTGTGAAATGACTATAGTCACCCATAGGGGTAATGTTCAGGATACTGGCGTAAACACAGAATTTTAGCTTTATGGATAACAGCCTAAAAGTAGAAGAACCAAAAGCAGAAACAGACAAAGGGGATTCTATTCAGCGAAGAAGCTTCTGTACAATGAATGGGGAAATGAAAATGAGACAACCTGCAGAATAGGATAAAATTTGTACCAACTATGTATCTGAAAAGGGATTGATGATTTTCATATTACATATATTGCTACCAGCACAAACTCTGGCTATGGAGTATTTGAATGGCATTTGTGAGCCCAGGTGTTTGTGTGCCCACTCAGGGTTCAGAGGAAAGTAGCTGAGACCATCTCAGCACCCCTCCTACCTGAAGAGGCAGCTAGGATAAGGACTGCTAGGCATGCACAAGCAGGAGAGCATGGCAGCTTCCTGCCACCATACACAGAGATATTTCGAGGCCAAGCAGTACGCTGCAAGGCATATTTAGCCATTATTCAGATAAAAAGGGTTTTTATGCTGCATGCTCACTTTCAGAGTTAAAGTGCTGATCATGGCTCTTACCTGGCAGCCCCAGAGCTGGCAGTAATGATAGTTATACCATTTTGAAAGGGGAGAGAAGTGGAGCCAGCATCCAGAGCAGTTTCACCCAAGCTGCTTACCATTTTAAAAGTTCTTCAAGACAGTAAAGAATTACAGATAATGTAATAAGGACAGACATAGAAACTCTAAATGAGTCACAGTGTTGGGAAAATGTACATAGGCTTGG